AGGGGGGAGGTCGATAAAGGGCTTTCAGGTCAGCGCGAGAGCATCCAGACTAGCGCACTGAGCCAACAAACAGCTGGTCAGCTGTTTGTCGGCTCAGCGTGGCAGCCATTTAAATTTAAATGAAGCCATGATTATTTAAATCGCGGCTTCATTTCCCTTTGCCTATCAGCCTAATTTACATGGCTCCATCGAGGGAGCCATGTAGTTCAGACACACCTTAAATAAGCCCCTTTTCAATACACGATGTGGTGGCGCAGGGTTTTATTGGATTACAGTCCATTTTTCCAATCCATATGCCCTTAACTTACTGGTAAGAATGTTGTGGATGGCCGTATCAAAAGCTTTGCTAAAGCTGGCCCTGGGGGCTTTGGGAGGACCAAAACCAATGTATTTGCATATTCATCATTTGCTTAATGAATATGCAAATCTGCAAATGAATGTTACCAGTCCTCTGAAAGCTCGTGAATGGATTTACTGGTCCCCGTGTCAAAAAGTTTGGTGTAGATGAACCCTATCAGCTCATGGACTGCAAAGGAGTAAGACTGTATCGCACTGGGGATTTGAACTTGCAAGCTTCTTCATTTGCAGCAACAACAGTTCAGCAGAGATACTCCACCATGAAACTATAGCTTCAAATTCAAAATACAATATGCTGTCATGGATTAAAACTTTACACCACCTAAGGAATCAGCTCTAAAAAGAATCAAATGATCAGCGTAACCTTCCTCCACACATAAAGGAGAAGATTGCTTCTATGGCCTTGTCAATCTATGTGCTGAATGTCAGCCTGCAGTGGAACTGACATCTATTGCCACGTGAAGCCATCACTGCCTTACACAAGGCCAAAAGAGTCACATCATTCAGGTCTGCCAACAGAGGGAGCAAAGGGGACAACTGCCCCTGAGGCCCAGCAATTGAGAAGGGCCTGGGGCTCCTGCTTGCTGCTGCACTTGCAGCAGTGGTGTCTTTAAATCACCGCTGGAGCCCTGTGTGGCATTCTGCAGAGCCCCAGATGGTGCTGGAGGGGGCACACTGTGGGCAGCACTGAAGGTTGGCTGTCCAGTCCCACCCCTTTTGCTCAAGACCCCACCCCTTCCAGGAGTGTGGAGCCGGGGTACCCCCCCACACACCTTGTTTAGGGGCCCGACAAATCTGTTGGCTCCTTTGACATCATTACAGCTGAACAGAGCCTTTAAGTGTGACAGGGCTATTTAGAGTCTTCTGAACAGTACTATTGATGACTTTTTAAAAAAGTACTTTTCATTTCACTTAGCAGATGCCAAATTCCGAAACACAGAATAATTATATAGCTGTGTAATGCAGCTAAATCATTTACACATTTGAAAGTCCTTGTGTGATTCATAGTAATTTTGAGCTAGTCTGCATTAAGAGAGTGCCAGTTAGGAATATCTACCCAAGCAAGGAACTACCCATAAAAATAAAAAGTTAAATTTAAAACACCCCACCAGACCTAAGCATATTTCACTCTCAGATTCCTGCATACAAGTCCCTTTGACACCTGTGGTAATACCCAGTATGTATCTGAGAACAATTATAACTCTCCAGATAGCAAAAACAAAAAGAGCAGTGTTTTCACCAAATTTGGATAAGAATTTCTACATGAACTAGCCTCAGCATTTGTGATATAGCTGTCTGGCTGTACCACCTGTTTTAGTACTGTTTGCTGCCAGGAACAAATTATATACACTCCTCTACTCGGTGATGATTTGAAAAAAAGCCACATGCACCTCACCCACATCAGTCTTATGTTTGCTCTTGCTAACATCAAGCCAGAATACTACAGGTTGTTATGCTGCAAATTTTACAGCCTTTGGGAAACAGATTCATTCACACATCCTCTCAAACTGAATGGTTAAAATTGAAGAGTGTAAAGTACAGATTTAATAGTCTGAAACACTATCCCAATCAAAATAAACCTAAACTTTTGGAAGACTGTCAAATAGCCTATTTTGTGTAAAAGCCATTATTAAACTTGAGGATGATAAGTGGACTGATCCACAATGGAAAAAAATCTGGCAGAAGAATCCGCTAAAATATTTGATATTTGAGTAAAAAAGGTGGAATTTAAAACAGTTTTCTTCTTGCACTGTTGTTTATAAAATATTGTCATGCATCTAAAAAGTTATTTAAATATGAATGGCCAGGATATATTAAAGTACATTAAATATTCATGTGTTTGGATAAATGTTTTGTGGTTTATATGATTATTATTTCTCATTCTTTGGGCCTAGCCCTAGAGTAGTTATTCAAGTAATGTTCTCATGGGCTTCCATAGGAACTTTACCTGGATAAGACCTGTAGGGTCGGTAAATACTGTTTACTTTCAATTCATATTAAAACTTAGCTTATAAATATAGGCCCTAGTCTTGCAAATGGTTCTGCACAAGTGTGCCTCGGTGCCTCTACTGAACCAGAAGCAAAATCAGCACTACAGAGCTGCTTTCTGTCATATGCAAAACTCGACACATTTCAATGCTAATTTTGCTGATGGGAGATTTGTATGTGCAAGGATGTCAGAACTGGACCTATTAGTATGAAGCCCAATAGCTCCAGTTCAGTATGCATTCCCCTCCTTGTGTCACTTTAGGGTCACTGTCTAAGCTACGGTTGCTCAGGTTACATGGCCAATGCTATTATTAGAGGTGTGTGGTGATCTAGCTTCACTAACTAGCAGTAGAGTCTCCAGCTGCCAGACTTCTCACACAATAACCCACCCTTCAGGAAAACTGCTATTCCCCCAAAAAGCAATAAATCACACTGACACGCTGACTCAATTACACTGTCAAAGTACAAATTGTTTCCAATTAATTATATTTGAAAATAGTTACAGTACCTTCTGTTGTAATCTCGGCCATAGCAGTGACGGTGCAAGATACTCTGCTAAGCAGGTCAGGTTATACCAGCAGTTTAGATAATTCTTCTGGGTCACTGACTCTATCTTGAGATTTAGAAATAAGGGCTCTTGAGATTTCAGCCTTCTCCCTATTCTGTTTCTTCCTTTGTGCCTCGCTGAACTTGTCTTCTCTGTAGAGTCCTGGCCCCCCAGAACAACCTAAGCCTTTCCCAAGGCAATGCCTGCACTTCAGACTAAAGTATCAGCGTGTAACAAAAATAGCCGTGCCTCCCAGTGGATCTTCAGCACACGAGCCACACACCCTATAAATACAAATAAAAATCCCCAGATCCAAAGGGGACAGCAGAGCATGGAAAGGCAGCAAAAGCAAAGGAACTGGAAAGAACTGTTTAAAGCCCCTGCAGCTTCACTAATATAATTACAGTTCTGGGGGGGGAGGGTGCGAGGAGGTAGGTCAGAAAATATGAAATACAGAGTTCAAAGTAACCTTATCCCCATCCTAGCTCAAATTTATTCTTAGCACACTTAATTCTTGGCACATTCTTCCTGGCCTTATTAGGATTGGGGAGGGTCCTATGAAGTCTACCAGTCAACAACAGAGAGGGTAAATGTGGGTAATTTTCTCCATTTTGATTCCCAATCAAGTTACTGACACACAACCAGGAAAGTCATTTTAGATCATAGACATCACCCATTAAGAACTTTACCCTTGCCCTTTGTTCAGTTAATTCACACACCTCCAAAGGTGTTTTTTTAAAGTGTTGCTGACTATACGTAAATAAAATGCTTGGATTAAAGGATGCAAGCTATATCCATTCACCTCTACAATTTTTAAGCAGACCAGATTTTCTTTCCTAGGACAAATTCAAAAATCTCAGGCAAACCAAATTTTGTGCAGTGTGTTTAGAGACGAACTTATACAAAACTCATTATCAATAGATATTTTTAAGTTCCAGTTGTTTTATTAAAAAAACCAAACAAACATGCTCTCCACTGTAGTGCTTGAAATGCCAGCAGAATGGGAGGAAGAACATGACTGACAAAATGTGGTTGAACCAGTATTATTCCTCAGCATGTAGGCTCTGAAAACTGATTAGCAGCCTTGCAGCTGGTGAACTTACAGTCAGCTTATTTCTACTGCAATGACTGGCATTTGCTCTTCTCATCTACCCTGCACCTGAAGTAAGCACCTAGTTATGTGGCAAGGTGCAAGGAAAGAAATCTGGCGGGATGGGTGAGAAGCAGAAAGGAAGGCAAATGATTCAGAATAAGTAAATGAGAGAAGAGAATGAGAGTGAATGAGTGGGCCAAGAATGTTCTTAAGTAGATCAGGGCAAAGACCACGTCTAAACATTTCACAAACAAATATGCCACGTGCTTGTGTTTCTGTCTATCTGCCCTCACTCTCAGTCCCCTCCATGTACTCTCCCATCTCCATTGCTGGAGAAGCACTGAGGCACCATGTCTATGCCCTCTCTTTTCCTCAGCTGCTTCATGCTGAACTAGTCCCAGAAAAGGAAGAGGAGACAAAGCCCAGCTGGTGGTAATGGTTCCATCGCAGCGGCAGTGTGAGCAGGCAGAGAAATGGTGTGGGTACCCCTGCAGCATTCTGGAAAGGGCTGCAAGGAGGCACAGCAGGACTGCCAAATGCAGGAACATTACATGAGAATCATGACATGTGGCAGCTCAACGGCTAATTTCACAGACACTGCCTGAAATGGAGACCTGGGTGAGAGCGGGGCATTTTCTATGCAGGAGATCAGCTTGTCTTTGGCTTCAGGGGAAACATTCAATCAGTGCACCAAGGGTGAGTTAAGTTAGAGACACATGAAAATAGAACCTACTGGCTCTGAATGAAGAGGAATATTCTTTGGGGCTGAGCAAGGGAGGATCCTCTAGTGAACCTTAGAGATGAGCAGGACACCACAAGACCTATTTAAACTGTTGACTCTGATCATAAGATCTAGCCTCCAGGGCTGTGTCTAGATTGGCATGATTTTCCGCAAATGCTTTTAATGGAAAAGTTTTCCGTTAAAATCATTTTTGGAAAAGAGCGTCTAGATTGGAATGGATGCTTTTCTGCAAAAGCACTTTTTGCGGAAAAGCGTCCGTGACAATCTAGACACGCTTTTCTGCAAAAAAGCCCCGATCGCCATTTTCACGATCGGGGCTTTTTTGCAGAAAACAAATCTGAGCTGTCTACACTGGCCCTTTTGCACAAAAGTTTTGCGCAAAAGGACTTTTGCCTGAACGGGAACAGCATAGTATTTCTGCAAGAAGCACTGATTTCTTACAGTAGGAAGTCAGTACTTTGCGGAAATTCAAGCAGCCAGTGTAGACAGCTGGCAAGTTTTTCTGGAAAAGCGGCTGTTTTTCCAGAAAAACTGGCCAGTCTAGATACAGCCCAGGTGTCTAGACAGGGTTGTGCTCTCAAGATGAATTTCTATGCAGGGAACCAACACAGAGTCTATGCAACACTTGCACCCACAAAGCAAGGCTGATCCTCTGAACAAGAGTAAGTTTGTACCTAACCTCTTAAGTTGGGTAACACTTTCACTGATACTATGACAGTTTTTAAAAGAATGAAAACACATATAAACCTTGCTGTGGTTCTTTCAGGAGCTATCACAGCCTGTTAAACCAGGAAAAGGTTTTGTATGCTAATTCTCCACACATCTCAGAAGGTGGGAGAGAGAGATTTACCCTTCAGCTCCCTCACTAGCCACTAGGTTCCTGCATACAGGGATGCTCACTGTCCACCCACTTGCATGGGAGGAGAAGTGGCAGTCCAGCGAAGGCAAGAAGAGAGAAATTTTCATAGAGGCATTCTATAGTCCCCTGCATGACTGTATACCATAGATCACAATTTGGCGAGAAACAAGATTTCTGAGCAGGAACTCATAATAAACCAAGGTGAGTACTTCATTTGCAAAACTGACTATTTGAGAAGCTCCAGTATTAATTGCTATTTTAGATGACAAATTGTATAGCTCAGAGAGTCAAATTACTGGTACCCATCTTTCAGGAGCTGATTTCCAAGTTGTCATGACAATAATGCTCAAAGAGGGGGTGGAGGCAGCAAATAACTGACATTATATTGGTAGAGAGTGGGAGAAGGAAGAACAGACATTCATACTAATTAAGGGAAGCATTTGAAGAGCCAATCAAGTTAGCTTTTATTAACAAGGAAATACAGAACAGGTTTTAGATTGTCTGCTAATTTGTTAGGACATTTGGTGATTTTTCCTAGGTTTTTTTTCTCCCTTCATTCTCTTGCTCAAGTTATAATCCTGTATATATATCACATCACAATTTCCATAATATTTTATTATGATGTCACACTGGGTTAGGCCTTCCTGTAAATAATCAATTTTCCTTTAGCTCCAGGTCCTGGTTTTACAGCTGTTGCATTGGAATTCTGTCTCTGCTTATATCCATGATTGGTCACAATTAATTTTTTTGCGATCTTTTTGTAGTCCTTGGTGTCACAAATTCTTCACAAAGTACTCAAAAGTTTACCTTCCATTCTGGGCTGAAATACTGTGAATAAAGTTTCTGAGCTCTTGGAATCTCATATCCAGACCTTAAACCTGCTTTGAACACATGCCAAAAACTAGATCCAAATACTGTCTCTGATCTAGATGGGCATCACTTAGGACTCCTTGCAATATTTTCAGATGCTTAGTTTTGATATTTCAGTCTCAGTCTCATAGGCCTTCTTTCAGGAAATATCACAGCCTCTCTAGAGGCTGAGTTGGATTCAGAGCAACTCTCTAGCCAGGAGATTCAGGGGGTAGTCTGTTACAGAAAAAAACAACAAATGGTCTGGTAGCACTTTATAGAGTAACAAAACATGTAGATGGTATCATGAGCTTTCGGGGGCACAACCCACTTCTTCAGATGACCGGAGTTATGAGTTGCAGATATGAAAACTTGAAATAAATAGGAGAGGGGAAGAAGAGGGGGGAGAGAAAGAAAAAGGGAAGGTGGTAGGAAACAGAGCATCATTAAGTATCTGGAGAATGGGTACTTAAACCTAAGCAGATAAAAATCAAAGTCAATAGATAGATTTCTAAAACAGGAAGGATACCATTCAGGGCGCTGTTAGCACCTTCAGTGGTTATTAAGTAGGTAGAGTCCCCACCAGCCCATATCACAACTGAGTCCATTGGCATGTGAATTGAATTTGTGGATGAACTGGGATTCTAGGGCTTCTCTGTGTATTTGGCTTGTAGAGCTGGTTTGTGACAAGACAGCTACTTGCAGGTCTGTAAGACTGTGGTTAGGCAAGCTGAAATGCTCACCAACAGGATTCTGTATATTCCCTTTACGTATATCTGATTTGTGTCCATTGATTCTTTCCCGCAGAGACCATCCAGTTTATCCAAAATATATAGCATACCTGCATCCTAACACCTTGAGACTTTATTTATAATTAAGGGACATTTGATCTGCTAGGTTTTAAGAGTAGAAATTACTCCACAGCTCAATGTTGGGATGTTAATAGATAGAGAGGAAAATATCTACTGCATAGACAATAGACTATTCCACTTCCACCTAGATAGCATGGATTATTAGAGGACATTGCAGAACTGCTAATATAATCTAAACCTACATGCCTGATATGACAAGGAATCCTGTTGCATTTTTAACATAAAAAGGGTCACAGATTACCAATGACTGGAATTTCAGAGAGAAGGAATAAGGGTGATGTTATAAGGTATCTGAATCCATATTCCTGATTCACTGCCTGTGTAAAAGGTCAAAATAATGAAAGGAACAATCAGAAACAGATTTGAGGCATTCACTAGCTATGTACATATTTGCTTATTTTCTTGTAACTAAACAGTTCCTTCTAAGAGCCAGATCTCAGGGGGCATAAAGCAAAATAGCTCCATTGAGGTCAGTGGAAACTACATCAGTTAATACTAGCTGAGAATCTGGTCCTCTATGTGGATGACTTTTGCAGAGTTTAAATTAAATCTATATGGGACACTATTTCTTGCTCTTTAATCTGATTTACTCACTTTAAAATAGATTGGTGTATTTCAGCTCCTGTGGTTTTAGACTGTTTGACTATTTGACACAATCTGTCCTGGAGACATGAAACAAGCTTCAGCTTCTAGAAGCTAGAAGAAAGGTGCCTGGAACCTCCTTGTCCGGAGATTCAGAAACAAAGTGTAGACAAGGCTGCAATCCTGAAAGTTACAGGAAATGCCAAATGACCAAGGAAGAGAACTGGGCTTAAGTGGCCTGACGTGAAATAATGACATGAATCATATATCTGATCTTTGGAAGAGATATCGGTCAAGATCTGGTTTAATAGTATGAAAATATACACTAGCCATCATTTTCTCTCTCTTTCTCATTCTCTCTCTCTCTCTCTCTGTAGAACAGATTTTATAATCCAAGACTATGTGGATGTGTCAGGAAATCAGGCTGAGGGCAGACTGGCCTACTGGTCAGAGTCCAA